TAGTACAATATGAGGTATTACTTGGTAGATGACATTTACCCAAAGTGGGCGACACTTGTCCAAGCAATTTCAAACCCTACGAATGACGCCGAAAAGTGGTTTACCTTATAACAAGAGGCATACCGAAAAGACGTTGAGAGAGCTTTCGGTATTTGATAGGAGCATATTTATGCGACTTAGTTAGCTTGTTTCTTGGCATTTATGTTGTTAGTTCGTAGTTATTTTAGTATTTTAAGCTATTTTCGTGTGTTTGTAGGTCCAAAGGGTTAATGTGGCAAAGAAGTGCATTTTGGAGCATTTTGAAGCATTTTTGGGCATGAAATGGATAACATATGCTTGGAGCAAAAGGAATGGACGAAATTTGAAGTTTGTGCATCATCCTCTCCCTATAAATAACCATTTTAGCACACTCATTTCACCCAACACATCCATTCACCTACCACTACATCCACTCATTTCACCCAACACATCCACTCATTTCAACCACCCAACACATTCACCTACCACTACATCCACTCATTACCACCACCCACTACATCCTCTCCCTAGCCTTTAAATATATCCATCCAAAGACACATTCAAGGGGACAGTTGAGGGAGAAGGGAGGAAGACACATTCTGCCGCAAGGCAGAGTCTTTTCTTCTTAATCATTCAACACATTCCCACAACAAAAACACAATTCTATGCACCTTCATTTCCCTTTCCTTGCCGTGACCTCCATCCAATCTAAACACATTCAGCCATTCCTCCATACAAACAAACCTTCAAACACTCACCAACACCTTGTGCCGTAGCAAAGGAAGGGAAGGAAAGTGCTTGGACGTGCTTGCTGTCCAACTTGGATCGTTGGAGCGTTTAGGTGTTTTCTTTCTTTTGTTTCTAATGTTTAAATTCATTTCCTTTCGTTTTGTTGTAAATATGAGTGGCTAAACCCCTCTTGGCTAGGGGTGATTTCAAAGCCATGATTATGTGTGTACTATGATTTGATAAATTCCAGTTATGAACTCTTGAATCGTAAATGCAATTGGTTTAACTATTTGATTGATAACTTATTTGTATTTGTTAATTAAGGGTCGACACTTAATTGGCATGCATAAATCCGTTGCTAGAATATAAGGAAGTTTCACATAATCGTTACAAACTTATATTCACATGTAGTGAATGTCGCTTATAAATGATCGCGTTAAGTTTAATTCTAGCATGAGTAACATGATGTCATAGTTGCAAGTGCTTTGTCAATGCTTATGATTTTCATTAAACGTAATGATCTTTGATTGTATCTCTATTATGATGTCATGTAGGGAACTTTAGAAGAATGTTTTGGGTTATCGAATGATGTCATCCAATCCAATAAAACAAGGAAAATTTGAGAGTTAACTAGTGATATCACGGTTAATTTGGAGCATTGTTGTTCATAATTCAATGAAGTAGTAATTGGAAATCGAGTTATTTGCATACATGTCATGTGTGGAGAAAAAGCCTCTAGCTATCTCATCCATCATCTTATTTCTCAAATTTATTTTACAATCTGTCTAATTTTTCATACTTGTTTGTTTGTTTCAACTTCATCCAAATCAAAACCTCCCTTTTAGTTTCTTGTTTCAAAGTGTTTCAAATATGTTTTAGTTTGTGTTTTTAAGTGTTTTGATTCAAGTAAAAGTCAATTTTCGTCCAAAGTCATTCCCAGTGTCTAGTTTAAGTTTATTTAATTGTTTTAAGCTGTTTTGATTATTTTAAGTTTGCTTTGAGTCTTGTGAGTCTTGTTAAGTGTTTTTAAATTTAGTTTTATGTTTTTGAGTTAGTTTAGAGGTTATTAGCAAACCCTCATAATCCCCCGTCCAGAACGATCCCTACTTACATTCTTTACTACAGTTGTCAAAAGAGGGTTAAATTTGTGTGTTAAGATAATTTTTCGCATCAGTATTCTACAAGCACAGTGGAAGATCATCAAGGAACTGGCAAGAGGGTTGAGTTGAGAAAATTTGGACTCCATCATGATGTCTTGCATCATATTACACAACATGATTATGGATGATGAGAAAGATGGGTATATTGATGGAGAGTCTGATGACGACCAAGAGGATCCATATAGGTCAAGAAGGGCTCGTGCAAAAATATATGATGAGCTTAATTTGCATTTGAATCCAAGAACTGATAGTATCTCTTTAAATAAGTACATAAGATGTTATAGGATGATACGTTCCCGTGCCACAAACAAGTACCTACAACAGGATCTTGTTGCACATCTTTGGGACAAAAGAAGCATGGGGTAGGCATGTAAGTTTTATGTTATTAAATGTTTTTAAAAATGTTGTTTAAGTTTCATGTTAAATGTTTTTTTTTTTTATGTTGTTTAATTTTATTTAATGTTGTTTCATGTTACTTAATGTTATTTAATGGTTTAGAAAGTTATAGGAAGAAAAAAAAATAGAATTTTTAAAAAAAATTTGTAAAAAAAATAAAAATAAAATAAAATATAACGGCTAGCTAACATAAGCTGGTTACCGTTAGACTTCAAAATCCGGCCTGGCTGCTTCCCTTGGGCCAGCCGGCTGGCCCTTTGGCCATTTTTCGTCTAATGGGGCCAACAAGCCATTTAGCCTGGTTCTCGATTGAAGACGATTTTCAAGCTATTTTTGGCCCTCGACCCTCTGAACCCTTCAGTTGAAGATTATCTTACGAAAACATTTCCTACTCTGATAACCGATGTAAGCAAGACATTCCCCATTTAAACCATGCGCGCATCGTAATCATAAAACCATGCGCGCATACTACTCATAAAACCAGTTCTTTGACTACTTTAATATATTATCCGATCAAAAACCATCCAAGTTCTTTGACTACTTTAATATATTATCCAATAAAAAAGTATGCATGTATGACCCCATCACGTGTGCTTGGACATGATTTTTGCCTTTTTAATTCTATTATATATATATATATATATATATATATTTTAAACAAGGTTCTAAAAGTTGCTAGGCGCTAGTCGGACGGCGGGCTGGGGCCTAGCGCCTAGGCGCCTAGGCGGGCGCCTAGGCGGACTAGGCGGATTTAAGTAAATCTATCATATTTCAGGTAAATAAGTGTCTGCTTCTACTTGAAATATATATAATTCTATCATAAACTACAAAATAGAATGCATATATATCATGAAGTATTGGAACATAATGAAAACATGTGAAATAAGGATATAATGTTTGTTCATTCAAGTATGCAACAAGTCTTTTACAATTTATTGGAAAAAAATAAAATGCAAAATGAAAGTTATGTATTTTCCATCTAAATGAGTTGCAACCTAGGCGGGTCTAGGCGGGCTAGGCGGGTGCCTAGGCGGTCTAGGCGGTGGGCTGGGGCCTAGGCATTAATCGGGGCGGTGGGCTGGGGCCTAGCGCCTAGGCGGGGATTTTTAGAACAGTGATTTTAAAACATAATATGTATAATTTTTTAAGAAACGATATTATCTACACTAAAGAAAAATGATGTGAGTTAAGCCTCACTATATAATGATAATAATATGATTCAAATTCGCTAAAATCGAACTTAAAATTTCTTATTTATCAATAAAGAGAAATATTATTAGAATAAAAAGAAATATTATTAAAATGTAATCGCTAATTCCATTTTTATATTCTAGTCTTTCTAGAGCCCCATTCAACACGTCTTTATCTGACACATATGAGTTGTCTGCGATCCGTCAACTGTGTTCACTTGTGTACGACCCAGTTTGACATCTCTCTCCAGAAAGTCCAAAAGTTAAAAGTCGTTCTACATATTTCAACACAACAGCTGTTACAATAACAACTTTATATTTTAATACAAATTAAAGATGTTAACAAAGAAAAAGACTAATAAATGAGTAAAGTAATCTATGCAAAAGACTAATAATGAGCAAAGTAGTTCTAAGGAGCAAAGTAGTTCTAATTATTCATGAACCTACCCAAGTTAATAAGAAGAAAAGACATAAAATAATAATTTCAAGAGAAATGTTAAAAAAAATTTCTCAATGAAATTCTTTATAAACTCTCTATCATCTTATATTTTTTACACAATTTAAAAATATTAACATAAAATTTATATTAAATTATGAGATAATAAAAAATACACAAAGATTCCAACTTTATATAAATTCTCTTAGCATTTCTCTAAATTTAATTCAGATGTCTTTTTTTCGCAACTTTATTTGTACTTCAACTTTTTCGTCTAATGATATCTTGTTTCTATTAAAATAAAAGTGACCTTAATTTGAGTAAACAGTTCACAAAGGGCAGGGAATAAACACATGAATCTATTTTTTATTTTTTGGACAAATGATATTACATGATGGTTCATGTTAAGCAGGAGTTTTTGAATCTACAAAAGTTAAAGGTAGTTTGGCCTTGAAGTTTAGGACATGTTTGGTAATCCATTTGAATTCAACTTTTTAAAATTAAAAATAATTTTCAAGTTTTAGGTCTTAAAAACTTGTTTGATAAGATATTTTTCAAAACTGAACTCAAGACTAACTAAAAAAATATAGCATATTATCTAAAAACATAAAAATTGAGTTTTTAGAGTTTTTAAACTTAAACTCACTCATTTCTTTTCTTTTTTTTCTCTCCTTTTATTTTTTACCTTTTTCGTATCTCTTCCAATCTGCTCTCTTCATTTTCTCGGTTCTTTCTCTCGCTATTCTTCCTCTCTATCTCGTTTGATTATCACTTTTATTTCTCTTTCTTTTAATTATCTCTTACTTTCTTTCCCTCATCTCTCCTCTTTCTCCCTCTCATGCGACCCCTTCTTTTTAGATCTTTTTATCTAGTCTAAGTATTTAAAAATTTTAAATCGTAAACCAATCAAGTTTTTTAGTCTTAAAAAAAATTGTTTTAAAAAAAGGTTCTTAAAAAATATTTTGAGAAATGATAAAAATTTTCAAATAGAATACAAAATAGCCCTTAATAATCCACTATTATTATTTATTCCATTTCAGCATCAATAATTATAACGTATATAAGAGCCTGTAGGCTGAGGCAGCAGAGCTCCATGGAATGTGAATAAAAATGGCAGCAAGTCAAAAGCTTTCAAAGTTGTTCTTCTGCTATGTTGTTCTACTCACAGTGCTTATCTGCTTTGAGCCAATCAAATCCCAGGAACAGGTGGGCACTCTTGCAGATGATGAAGGTATAGGCTCTCACTATTGGAATCTTTAGTTTTAATGTTTAATATGTGTGAAGTGATTGAAATTTTAGTTGCTAGAATTGGATTGTTCATCTGAAAAATGTTGAAAAGTGTATATTTATGGTGGAAATAACTTAAATTTATAAGCTTTTTAGACAAATTTTGACAGCAAATTGACAAAGAACGGAGCTCATGCTTGAAATTTTTATGAAGTTCAGTTTTCTGTGGCCAATTTTATTAGACTTACTAGAAAGGAAGAAACATTATCTTATCCATTACTTGCTTTTGTGAAAAGTGATTTTGAGATTGTGTTTCTGTTTATTTGGGTGTGGCAGTGGAAGCACTTCGTGAAATAGCTGTGCAATTGAATAAAAAGGATTGGAATTTTAGTGATCCTTGTAGCAATATTCCGACTATTTCAATCCCGCATACGGATCAGTACAACAACACTCTCGTCTGCAACTGCTCTTTCTCTGGCAATGTATGCCACATCCAAAGCATGTATGCACTTTTTACAAGCCGTAGTTTATAATTTTTGCTCTAAATTGCTTGTGATGGTTGTTGGCCAATGCTACAACTGCTAGTGTATAAAGGTTTTTGTCTATCAAGTTGTAAGAGATTCTGATTTTTATCACATCAATCATAACCTATAAGTTGTGGATCCTTATCACGCAGTTTTCTGATGGGACAAGACCTTGATGGTGTGCTTCCGCCAGCACTGTCGAAGCTACCTAACATTAAGCAAGTGTATGAAGATATTTCCACTATTTTTTTTTAGTTTCTCCAATCACAAATCTATTAAGCTTCTGTCCAAGATCCTAATAGCACTTTTTTTCTTGATCCTAGTAATTTGGGCCAGAATTACCTTAGCGGTTCAATACCACACGAATGGAATTCTACGAAGTTGGAATTTCTGTAAGTGACTTCTAGACTTTTGTTTGAGGTTGATGATAAACTCGCATGCCATTTATTGAACTAATGTCATGCCCAGTGCAGGGTTCTCAGTGTGAACAACTTATCAGGACCTATTCCTAGCTATTTGGGAAGCATGACTACTCTCCGAGCTTTGTATGCATCGAATGTTTCTTCCACTTCTATCACCTCATTCAGAATAGTTAGTTTGGTGCACCAATTTGTTTGTTTTGAATACGAACTTAACAAGGCTTTTCTTTCAGGGGCCTGGAGAGCAACTTATTTTCTGGAACTGTTCCCCCGGAGTTGGGCAATTTGGTTAACATGGAGATTCTGTCAGTTTGCTATTTTATCTTCCTTTGTAACTCTATATGTTTATATTTTAATTTTCTTGGATTTTCATAAGCTAGTATATATGTCAATTGACAACGGATTGGTCTTGCTTTGCCATGGGTAACTACAGCTATCTTCGTGCTAACAATCTCACTGGTGAGCTGCCCTTGGCCCTAAAAAATATGACCAAATTAAGAGTACTGTAAGTGATATGACTACCTTAAATAATTTAGGTTCGTTCCATGAAATACTTAAGATTTATGTCATTTAATCTTTCTGCTTTTTGTGGCATTATTTACAGTGATATTGGCAGTAACAACTTCACTGGAAGAATACCTGACTACTTTCAAAGTTGGAAAGACCTACAGGCCTTGTAAGAGATCTTTTCTAGTGCACTTTAAATTCTCAACTGAAATATTTTCATGTGTAATCCTAAATCCATCAACTACGTTGTTTACAGAGAGATGCAAGCGAGTGGTCTTGAAGGGCCCCTTCCATCTAGTCTCTCTGCATTGAATAATATGACAGACCTGTGAGTCCCCTTTTAAGCTCTCAGTTATCTTAATTTGCATGATCTCCTTGAGTCACTTTTCTAATTTAGAGAGAGAATTGGATTTATGAATATACTTGTATTCCAACACGTTGTCATGCTTAACCTTTTGCAGAAGGATTAGCGACTTAAGTGGTGAGAGTTCAGCTTTTCCAAACTTATCAAACATGATGGGCTTGAATAAATTGTGAGCCATATTTTACGTTTTATATATTTTTCTATTAGCATAACACATGCAGGTGAAAACTACTTTCCTAATACCGGTTGCTCAAATTGCAGGATGTTGAGGAGCTGCAATATAACAGGAGAAATCCCTGAATATATCTCTACCATGACAAGTCTGACTGTTTTGTAATTCTTCTATCTGTATTCATTCTTCATTTTTTTTCACGACATGCAGCTCTTAATAATTAGTTTTATACAACAGCTCTGGATTAGTACTAATGTTGTATAACAAACCGATAACATTCTGAACATATTTCATACGAAAATTAGGTCATATTTCAGATTTATGGACTTAAAACTTTTGCTTGGCCTTACACGTAACAAGCTTTAAAACATGTACCTTTCAGTTAAGCATCACATTCTAAATCTGTTCTTAACCCAACTTGGAATGTGGTGTACGGACAGTGATCTGTTTATTTTTCACACTGACAGTCTTCATGCTGGTTGATTAATTTATCTTTTTAAGATTTACTTAATTTCCATTTCAAAAACTTGCTTCCGTGTTCACAGTATCACCTCCATTCCATGTCTTCTTATTATTTGTTTACATATTTATTTGCAGAGATCTTAGCTTCAACAGATTGGAAGGGAGCATTCCAAATCTTGCAAATATTATGCAATTGGCCACAATGTAAGGACTGTAATTCATAAGGGTAGCTAGCACACATAATGATGCATGGAGGCCTTTCCCTTGGCTCCTACATATGTCATGATTTAACTTATAAAGTTGTCGTTTTGATGTTATCATGGAGCTTAATTTCGGATAATGCACATCCTGATCAAATGAGAACGAGTGCAGTTCTGTTTCTCATTTACCAGAAAAAAGATAAAGAAAGATGAGAACGAGTGCACTTTTAAAGTTATCTTTAACCAAACTCTCGCTAGGAATCATAGTTGTACCAAGGGAAAGGCCTAATAAACACTTAAGTTTCCCGTCTTTCTTTGTATTTTGAAACAGTATTTTTACACATAAACATTCATTGACATCTGTTCTATATTGCTCACTTATCAGATATCTGACAAGTAACTTGCTTACTGGTCTTCCAGAGTGGATAAAAAACAGAGACAGTCGCTAGTATGTATCTTCATACCAGAATCTTACATATTTTTTCTACTTTGTCATCCTGAATCTTATATGTTCTGCTTCTGCTTTATCTTTTTCATTACTCCGATGATATGCAGACTATTGAATTATAACAAGTAATTATATTATTTGCAAGTTTCACCAAAATATTCTGATATTGATTTTACTGAAATTCCAAGTTAACAGAGAACTTTGTGTTTTGTGCAGCAATATAGATCTTTCTTACAATAATTTTTCTCAGAATTCTGTCCCAAATTCTTGTCGAGAGACCTTGTAAGCATAACTGTTTTTCCATTTCTTCTTTATGTTAATGTCCTTGAGATAAACTTGCATTACTTTTTTTGACTTTCTAAATAGATGAATCTAACATTTTATAATCTGTTTTGCATCAGCAATTTGTTCAGAAGTTTTTACGGTCGGAACAATGCGTACGCCTCTAACTTCTTGAGCTTCATGCGAAGACTTTTCATTTCTTCTAATTAAGTTAAGAAGCTAATGTTTATTTTTCATATTGTAGGATACTTAGCAATTGCCTCCTTCCATGTTCAAAAGGTAGTTAAGTTTGTTGTAGAATTAAATCCAGATCGAGGAGTAAATTTGTGTTCATATGAAGTGAAAATGTTACAAAGCATTGTTTTAAGTTCTTAAAGCTTATACTTTCTTTGTGATCTTCTCTGTATAGATCAGTACTCGTTGCATGTAAATTGTGGTGGAAATCAAACCACCATTGGAAACATCAAGTATGAGGAAGATGATGCCTCAGGAGGTGCAGCAAAGTTTTTTCAAAACTCAGCAACTTGGGGATTTGGAGTATACTGTGTATTGGTTTTGGATCTGACAGATTTTTTTTAGCTCAGACAGAATAACTACTCTGATTGTACAAAATGCAATTCTTCTCTTCTTTCAGAATATTCATGCTGTCACTTAGCAATGGAAATTACACGGTGAAACTACATTTGCAACATCTTTTATATTGTCTTGTTTTTAATGTTTATATCCAGAATTTTGAAAGTGCAATTCACTTATGGCTGAAAAATAATCCTTTTCTCTCACATATTATTTTAACCATTGCTTAGCAATAGGAATTTTGAAAACTCCTTGTAATATTCTTTACAATTTGCAAACAACGACAAGTCCTCAGAACATTTGCTCAACAGTCTTTTATTGGACTGGGAAGGATTTAATAAAAGAACTTTTGGAGGTTTTGATTAATCAAGTTTTAAAGGTTTTAAACCAGGATAGTATTTAATTGCAGTTTTCTTGTTATTTTAGAATTTTGCATCTGGAAAAAAGCAACAAAACAAGGAATCTCTTAATCAGTTATTGTTTTAAACAGATATTTTTTATAGACTCTTCCTTAGAAATCTTATTGTTTTTTGTTAACCTTGAAACTTTAGATTAGAATTTGGCCAACCTGATGAACAATGGAACTTTTTTAGGAATTTTCATCTTAGGAAGCCTCTTTTCTTGATTTTTCTACTTGGTGAGAGTAATTTTTAAAGAGGCAGTTACTGGTTTTGGAGATTTGATATGAAAGGGAGGAAGGGACAAGGGGTTGATAAGGAAGATTAAGGTATTTAAAGCAGTTGTTAGTGTTAAGACTTTAGAAATCCGATTTCAGTGGGCGGGGAAAGGGACAACAAATGTTCCAAAAAGAGGAATCTATGGTTCTCTGATATCAGCTATCTCAGTGCAGTCTGTAATGTAAGTTTCTCTTTGGTACAAGTCCTGTAGAAATTTATTGTTCTCTTAGATTGTTGTCTTATTGTCCTTATATTCTAGATTTCGAGCCACCTGATGATAGCAAAAGGAAGAAATTCATTGTGATTGGAGTTGTTTCAGCATTATTCCTCATTTTCTTGATTTTGGGCATTCTTTGGTGGAAAGGCTGTTTTGGAAGCAGGACAACCAGGGAACAAGGTACGGACAATACCGTATAGGTCATTTTTTTGATTTAGAAAAGTCGAAAGTTATTCATATTTCTACTTGCTACAATAAGAATTTTCAAAAGGGATTGTACACTGGTCGCACCTATCAGTATGCTGAATCATTAACGATTTAACTTATCAACGAAAGTCAGCTGCATGGTTGAACACTGCAGAGGATCGGAAATCTTATTCTTAGAATTACTAAATTTACATTTAGTTCACTCAAATCCTTAGCCTCTAATGTTTCTATTTACAATTCTAACTTAAATTTAATCCCAGTTCTAAAATAATTTCATCATCAAATCATGCATGCACGAATCTGATGGAATTTGACAGTTCATCAATATGCTAAAACTCAAAAGGGGTTTAAGGCCGGCCGTTGTTGTAAACCTGTTATAAATGCAAACTCAACTTTTGTCCTACCTCTAGTTGTTCACTTGCCCTCTCGATTCTCAGTGAATAAATAGTTCAATATGTTAACCTTTCAACATGAACAGATCTCATGGGATTAGATCTGCATACTGGTTTCTTTAAATTCAAGCAACTTAAGGCTGCAACTAACAACTTTGATACTGCCAACAAGCTTGGGGAAGGTGGCTTTGGAGCTGTTTACAAGGTATTCCATGACTCCTTTTGTTTCCCTATGTTTGTAAGAACTTTTCTTTTGTTTTGAATGCTATGGTGTATCACACTTAAGAGACTATTATGGTTGACCTATATTCCTCAAATGTGTTATATTTCAAACTGCAGGGCGAATTACTAGATGGCACTTTTATTGCAGTTAAGCAACTTTCTTCAAAATCAAAGCAGGGAAATCATGAGTTTGTGAATGAAATAGGCATGATTTCTGCCTTACAACACCCAAATCTTGTGAAATTGTATGGATGCTGCATTGAAGGAAATCAGTTATTTTTGGTATATGAATATATGGAGAACAATAGCCTTGCCCATGTTTTGTTTGGTAAGTTGGACAATCTGGAAGTGCAATACTTCCGTATCTTATAATTAGTTTCATAAATATTCTTAAGTTCTCTGTTAATTTCAGGCCCGGACGAAGGCCTAAAGAAATTGGACTGGAATAAAAGGCAGAAAATATGTCTTGGCATTGCAAGAGGTCTGGCTTTCCTGCATGAGGAGTCGACTCTAAAAATTGTTCATAGAGACATCAAAACAACCAATATACTACTTGACCGGGACCTTAACCCTAAGATATCTGACTTTGGTTTAGCTAAGCTGGACGAAGAGGAGAAGACCCATATTAGCACCAGAGTTGCTGGAACTATGTGAGTGACCTTCGTTTTGCTCTATCAATCATTCTGGTTTCTATTTTTACTCTCTTAGTTTTGACAGCCTTTTTTTTATTATTCAATCTTCATTTTAAAGAAAAACTTTTATTTGTAATAGATGTTTTAATTGCAAATGTGCATTTCAAAACATCACTGAATTTAATATAATGAATGTACATAAAATTTGTTAAATGGCATCTTCATGTATGCTAACAGAAGTTAATGTGCAGAGGATACATGGCTCCAGAGTACGCGTTATGGGGCTATTTGAGTGACAAAGCAGATGTTTACAGTTTTGGGGTTGTCACATTGGAACTCGTATCTGGAAAAAACAACATCAAATATCGTCCAAATGAGAATTTTGTATGCCTTCTTGATTGGGTAAGATCTTTGTTGCATTCGTTTAGTACATGAAGTATGTAGGAAACCAGGGTGCTTTCCGTAGAACTGATTTTCCAACATAAGCAAATTGTTTGGCTCCACCTGATTTGTAAAATAGAATGAAGAACTAAGAAACGTGGCTTTTCATTTTGTTTTTGAAATGTTTACAATTTTTCACCATTCCTTCTGCATTTCTTCTCAATGCCGCAGGCCCTTGTCTTGCAACAAAATGGAAATCTGATGGAGCTGGTGGATCGAAAGTTGGGGTCTGGGTTCAATAAGGAAGAGGCAATGAGAATGATAAAGGTAGCTCTACTATGCGCCAATCCATCACCAGCACTAAGACCTTCTATGTCCGCAGTAGTGAGCATGCTTGAAGGCCAAACTCTTGTTCAGGAGGTGAAGATAAACCCGAGTATTTATGGTGATGAGTTGAGGTTGGCCTTCTCGGAGGACTCTGATACTTCTACTGTACAGACCACGCGAAGTTTACTTTATTCATCCGATGCAAAATGGACCGCCTCTACCTCATCGTTTGTCTAGGATATCTATGCAGTTGATACTGATTCTCTACTGTAAAAGTAAGAACAGTACGGCCGGGTACTCTGCCACTGAAGGCAGGTACTCGTACCAAAATAAAAGCGCAAATTCACTAGAGACTACTGCTATACAAGCTTGTACAATATGAAGAGTGTAACATCAACTACATTATGGTTTTTATTGATCATAGCTTCTACATATAACGTGTATAACATAATGGTGGTAGTAGGTCGCATGAAGGTGCCCGAACATCATTTTTTATTTATTTATTTATGGAAAACAATAGAAATCTTTATATACTAAAACTCAGTCCCTCGGGCACTGTGGATGACCAGTGTGCTGACCATTTTGCCCCTGGGTTTCTCCTTGGTTTCCTCCTTTGTGACCTGCTTTGCACAGTGAGATTACGTTTTTCCCCATTGGATGCACGTGTCGACCATCGCTGTGCAACGCCTGCTCCTCCACTTTTCTTCTCCCTTTTTCCCTTCCGTTTTCATTTTTCCCACGCGTCGATCATCGATGGACCTGCTTTCGCGTCTCTCTCTCTCGTCGTTCTCAGTTCTGCTATTCTCAACTCTAGCTTCGTGTCTCCAAAACGGCGAATTTTCTCGCCCTCCAACCTTCCATCTTTCTCTCAGGAATTATCGACAACGGTGCAATTAGATCCGATTCAATTTTTTACCCAGAAACGTTGGCGTTTCCTGGTGAGTTTGATAGCTTTCTCAGTGTGGGTGTTTTAATTTTTCTTTTGGGTTTTAGATTTGCAGATGGGTTTTGTGTTTATGTTTGCTTTTTGTGATTCTGTTTGTAGGCTTGGATCCTCCTCCTCCTCCTCTTCCTCACCCAAACCAGCAGCCCCACCTTCGATTGATACTGACGGAAACACCACGAATTGAGGCGCAACACCAATACTGTAACAATTATAAGAAAAGAGCTCCAAACCCGCAAAGGTTTTTTTTTGGGTTCTGGGTTTTGAGCTGTTTGGATACTGAGAATCAGTTTTTCATTTTTTTTTGTTTCTGGGTTGCCTACAATTAAGAGAATTAGGGAATGGATATAGCGTGAATTTAAATTCTGGGATATCGCTTGAGGAAAATCTTGGATTTTTTTAAATTTTTTTTATTTCAATGAATATTTGTATTGATTCACTGACCTCTTTTTTATTTAGTAGGGGAAAAGGGAATAAGGCAATTGAATGAGCGGTTTGTACAGTAGCTAAGTACATAAAAGTATATATTTTCTCTGTGTGTGTTTGTATCGTTTGTTTTGATTATGATTCCTTCCCTATTTCTGCAATTTTGTGCATTGGGCTTTCTGAGATTTATGATTTGATATTTTTGGTTAGTTTTTTTTTTTTTTAATGGAATTTGTTGTTTGGTCATTGCTCTAATTACAATTGATATACGTGTAGAAGTAGGATTACAAATAAATAGCAGCATGTGAACTAAATACAAAACAATCAAGATTGAACTTGATCTGCAGCAGCCGCATCGTCTGAGGAATCCGTGTTGGAATAGAACTGTATTTGTGCAGGTAGTATTGTAGTCGGTTTATCGTTATTTGTACCCAGTAAGACCTAATGGACAATAAATTCTCTTATAAGCATGGGGAAAGTAGCGAAATCCAAGTTTTATTCTCTTACATCTGCCTGTGTTTCCAGATCTTGCAAACGTATTTGAAGTGTTGTTGCCACAACTTCTGTTGTATCCCAATCCTTTTGACGCTTTAAACGGAGAGGCTGCAGCTTTAATGATGTTTTACCAAGCTGCTTATGAACAAAGAGTTAAAGGTCTTGATTGCTTTTTAGGTACGTGTCTCCCTGTCATTATGCATCTGTTTTCCATCGTTTTTTACTTAAGTTTCGACTTTAGTGTATTCGTGTGATTAGTGCTAATTAGAACATGGATTCTTCAACAACAATCTTTTGAGTAGTGTGAAGTCTTTTGTTACATTATAGTGCTACTCTTACACCTGCAGATGTTAAGTGTGTTTGAGTTGAGAACCTTGCATTCTGTTACGTTTTGAGAAGTAAACTTAAGTTGACAAAAACAGAATGGTTATCAAATGGGACCTTGATTTCTGCATAAAAATGAGTTATAATGTGCATTATCGAATACTAAGTTACGTATTTTCTTTAGTTGTTTCCTCGAGAGCATTCCAATGCATCACTAAACATGATTATGCAAGCAAACATTGTATTGTATTTAACTAATGTTACTAAACTCAAGCAGCAATTGTCATTGGACGTGCGTTCGAGCCACATGTTTTCCCAAAATTAGATCGTTTCTAATTCCGTTCTGCAATCATGTTGTGTTTGTCTGTTTTTAATTGTTGGTGCAAGCTTGAAGGACATTGTGAAAAATTGGACATATCAACCGCCTCCTTGCCCAAGGTGCTCCCCCCTCTCTTCTGTCCTCACTTTGTCTCTAAAATCTTCTCTCTCGATACTCAAGATATCATTCCTCACTTGGCCAAAAATGATAGATTATCCCTCATGATGTGTTTTCCATGTTTGAATATTTTGTTCATTCAGCGTCAAGTGTTTTCTTTTTGTGTATAAGAATATCTCATTAACTCATTGTTTTCTCTTTCCTGTAAGTGGTACAATAGTTCTATCCGATCATGGTCGCTATTTTTCAAAGGATGCTGTGGAATTTCAAGATTGAAAACCGCTGGCTTTCAATCTTTTAAAACAAATTACCTTTGTAAGGTATCAAAACTATAATTTTTCTATAGCAAATAGAATTCTTTCCTTCACTATGGTATTTTTGGATGTCTAAATTACCCCTAATAACACTACTTTGGGTCTCTCACTTATTATCTACATTTATCTTACATTATTTCATTCAATTAAATGTCTTCAAATACCTTATGGGGATTTGGAAAAAAATTTAAATGTCATGATTCCTATGCATTTAATAACAAAAATTTACATGATACCAATGTTCCTTATATAGTTGTTTTCACATGATGCTATGTTACACACACCCCTAATTTAAATTGTATTTTCACTAAGTTTGAGTTTATCTTGCTTTTAAAATGATTTTTAGGTCTTAAATGATGTGTCCAAAGAGCCCACCCCCTGTTTTGTCCCCGTTCCCTTTCCTTTTTCTTTTATTTTTATGAAAATCTTCCTCTTTCTCTCTTCTCCCTCACTCTCCCTCATCTCTCTCTCTCGGCTCTCTCTATCTCAGCCCCTCCGAGAGCTTTTCTTACCAACAAACATCACCACAACAACATCAACATTTCCATTAGCACCCTAGTGAGCTTAGAATCGAAGAAAGAACACCCCCAAACCCTTCTCTTCCTTTCGGTCGGTACTGTTCATCATCTTCTCCGTCGAGTTTCGTATCGTTTCGACGTTGGTAAGCTTCTAGAAGCCCTTGAGTTGTGTTTTAGGGTTATATTGAAGCTTGTTTTAAGTGGTGTATACGTTTGAATCGCAAAAAATAGCTTGGAGTAGCTTTTCTAAATTTTTCGACGAGCACCGCCACTTTCGAAGCATTTTCCGGCCAAATTACGGCGAGTTGGCCTGTGTGCAAGGTATCAATCTCTTTGTCTCACTGAGTAATACAACTTTTTTTTTTTTCATCCAATTTCGTTAAGTATTGAAGAAGTTATATCCATTTGAATCTTACCCAGTTTCTGGCAACATTAGTGGCTTTCGAGGCGTTTTACGGCCAAAAAATGGTGAGTTAGACGTCGTGTGAGCTACCATTCTCTTCGTCTCTTTGAGGGCTACAATTTCCGTTTTTGAATCACTCGATTTGGTTGAGTTTTGACAAAGTTATGGCCGTTTAAAGTTGGTATAGCTTCCCGGCCGAAATCCGGCCTTCTCCTTCCTTTGAATCCGGCAACCCAGAAAACCCAAGCCCTTTGGCCTTTCCTGCTGAGCCCAACCCAAAACCCATTTCAGTTTTTATTATTTATTTTAAATATTGTTTTAATGTAAAAGGCCTTTGGGCCATTCTAAATCAGAGCCTTAGGCCCATCCTCCTTAAAACCCAAAAACTCTTTACTCTAAGTTGTTTTTATTTTTATTTACTAAACTAAAGGCCTTTAGGCCATTTTCCATTAGGGTCTTAGGCCCGTGCATCCTAAGTCAACCCTTTAAACCCCATTACCCTAAACCCTTAACCTTAACCAGTCCAAACCCTTTATGGAAAATATTCTATTAGGGAATATTCCGTCAGAGGAATATTCTATCGACGTTTATGAAATTTAACTGGGACCCTTCTTTGGGTAATTCGACGTCCTGAATTCGTTTTCGATGTCCATTTTCCTAGATTCAATTGTTATAATAGAGTTTTATTAATTGGACCCTTTATGTGCTTAGGGGCAATTGTTTGTGGCATTCCGTCTTTGCTAGCTTGCGTGGCTCTTCGGTGGCTAAGTATCTGTGAGTCTACCCCTTCTAAAATTTACGTGATTTCATAGTTTAATTGCATAAATGAATAGCATGCCTTACGAGTTTATAATTTGATTTATGTTAAGCATGTTTATTGAATATGTTGATTTTCGTCTCGTGTTTTTGGTGAGGAATTAATTATTGGCCTATATTGAACTATATTTTAATATATCGTATTTTCTATAAAAACCATGAACTGGTAGACTATCTGATGGATGACGATAGGATGCTAGAACATGTTTTAGAAACCCCTCTTTATAGTATAGACAATGGATGACTTTATACTATGAAGTGATTATTTTTTAGAGGCGTAACTATTTGTGCGTACCTAGTGGACACTATGCCGCCTGGGGTGAGGGTCTGGTGTTGGCAATTAGGCCGGGAGAAATAATCCCTAGCGAAAGGTTAAGGGACACGGAGACAGGCATTGGGCCGGAAGGGAGTTATCTCTGGCTACGGGCACAGAGACTTAGGTGCTGGCATTGGGCCAGGAGTATATTTATTCAGTGATCTTACTAGCAGCACACCACGCTTATGAGACAATCTACGAGACAATACACGCGATGATTTATATGATGTTTTTCCGCATTATACATGTTGAGATGTTTTATGGCATGCTAGAGTTTTAGAAAAACCTATCATTTATTATGCTAGTAGTTTTCATTATTAAAACTTTAGGGGTTAGTATATTTATAACTGTTTTTGTATTATGCATGTATATAAACTTGGTCTACTCACCCTTGTTTTGCGCCCCCTTTCAGGATTTAGAATCGAGGCATACGATCCCGACGTCAACGCTTTCGCATTGGCATATTCGAGTCCTCTCGGTGTAGGACCTACATCCTCTTATTTATTCAATTTTATATTAATCCTTTTAGAGCTCTAGTTAGTTGTATACTCTGAACACGTTCCTAAATTATTAATTCATTGTATTTTAAATTTCTAACCCTTATTTATTTCTTATTCTAAGCTTTTGTATCAATTAATGGCTTTCGTCACCCTCGGGTATCGGCCAGCATGTGTCTATCTTGGTATTCGGGGAATATCAGGGTCGGGGCGTGTCATGCTAACAGGTAAATTGGTATATCCTACAAATATAAAAAAAAAGTTATTTTATTCAAAATTATCAATATTTTAAATATAACATAGGTAAATTACCTACATGCAAAATAATTTACCTACAAAATAAAAGAATGTCGATTGATTGCACACTCTATATAATAATAACAAAATGTGGCTAGTCTATATGTAATATCACATGAAAAATAATTTACCTACAAAATAAATAAATATTTTTAGCCAATTGATTCAAAATTAATTAATCACATATTATTTTACATAAAAATATAGATAAATTATTTGTACGCATATATATAATTTTAACAAAATGTGCCCAATACATACATACAAAATCATTTACCTACAATGATTGTCAAACAAATAAAAGAAATGAAACACATGATGGTAAGAGAAGTATAAGGTAGATAATTTTTTTAATAATAAAGGTAGATAATTTTTTAATAATAAGGCACTTATTTCCCACAATTATGGTGGATAATTAAATTCATTAACATAATTAGAGTGTTGTGGCTCAATTGTAAATAGTTTGAAAAAAATAGCTATTTATTTGTTTACATGATAGTCTACTTCAAATCTGGGTTTTATTTAAACGTTTAAAATGAGATGGATTTTTGTCAAGGAAATAAGTGTTACATGAGCTTATATCTAGGGGTGTGCTATCCACACATCTCTTTTTACTTCTCCCACACCCCTTGTTAATTTCTATCATTTGATCTTCTTCAATTCATCCGATCCGACGGCCGAAAATTAAAAATATGTGAGAAAAGTAAAAAGGAATGTATGAATATCACATCCCTATATCTAAAGAACCCTTAAATATATAAAGCAAACTTAGCCCGGCGATGAGCCGCCGCATTGGCAGTCCATCAAACATTCGATATAACTTGACTTTAGTTGGTACGAGATAATTATAATAGGCAGTTTTAGAGGAACCTTCCTCTTTCCCGTAGTAAGAGAAAATTGTCCTCATTCCCTGTATATATCAATTCTAATTGGACATACATAGAAGACGTCTAATTTTGAAGTTTGAATGACGCGTGCGTGAATACATTGAATAATAATGGTCTTATTCAAACTTGGACTAATCCAGTTCTGCTTGTCAATTAGTTCACAAGAATCACAACCAACAGCTGATAATAATGTAAGATAGTAACATAGATATTCCTGTATCTTCATCTACTTGGCAATTAGTTTACAGCCAACAACTTGTATTTTTCTAATAAGCACGTACGATTAACTAAAGATTACTTAATTAATAAAAGAAGACCATAAAAATCGAGGTCAAGGTTGATATTATAAGGGCTCTACCGAACTTGTATTTTTCTAATAAGGACGTATGATTAACTAAAGATTACTTAATTAATAAAAGAAGACCGTAAAAGTCGAGTTCAGGGTTGATATTATAAGGGGTCTGCCGACATATATAGCCAGCAGAGCTCATGGAATGTAAACTGTAAAGTGCGTGGTGAGGAAACATGATGGAAAGTCGTAATATTATTTCAAAGCAGCCCATCATCCTCTTCAGCTATGTTGTTGTACTCACAGTGCTTATGTGCACTGAACCAATCAAATCCCAAGCACAGGTGGGGACTCTTGCAGATGATGAAGGTAAGCAATTTTTCTTAAGTAGCTAATTTCAGGAGATGTTTGATAATCATTTAGTCTTCATTTTTAGTTTTTTTTTAATGTCAAAGTCTTTATTTTTCTTGTTTTTATTTTCGTCTTTTTTTTTTGCAAAGTGAATATTTTTTTGAAGTAATTAGAATCGCCTACATTTCTAACTTATTTAGACTAAGCATCTGTTTCTTTACAAAATTTGATTAAGATAACTGATCAATTGCCAACTCAGCAATTTTTTTATTTAATATATATCCACTTAAGCTACCTAACAACTAATTTCCTACAATTTAGCGAATTTTAAATTTGTGACTTTATTAAAAATATTAATTTAACTAATTTCTCATTATCACTAAAAAAAATGTAAATTTTTATTTCTGTTATTATATTTAATTAGTCACTTCCTTCATTAAAAAACGGCATTAATACTTTCATTAGAAGCTTCATTAATTTGTTAAAATTTTAGAATTGTTATATAAAAATGTATTTAAAATTTGTGGTACATTTGAAAATAAACGCCAATTTTTTGTACATTTAGATTCTAAATAATACCAAGAAACAAAATGTACCAGAAATTCAAATTACCATAAAATCAAATGTGCCAATATTATAGATAGTCAATCGTACCTTTAATAAAATTGTGGGAAAAATGTTTAATCAAATTCTTAAAAGGAACAAATGTTTAATCAACGGAATTAAAGAACGAAGTGTTTATATCAAAATGCCCCTATGTTTTTTTTTAGAACTTGTTTAGTAATTAATTTCAATTTTACATTTTTCAAAATATGAAATTGATTTCAAAATCAAGCTAAATTTTAAAATCTCTAAAATCATTTAGGTTGAAGTAAATTTGGAGCAAAAGTTAGATCCAAATCTTTGTTTGGATTCCCAAACAGAAAGTTCTAGAAATTTTGCACGAAAAAAATAATTTGGAGGTCATAAAATTCAAGAGTGAGAATTTCAAAGAAGAAACAAACAATTAATCATGTACCAGTACTACCTCACGAGTTTTTTTTTTTTTTAATTTTTAATTTTACCAGAAATGATAGCATAACCTTTCATCAGTTAACCAAACAATTATAGAATATCACTGGGTACATAATTTCAATGACCGATAAATTGAACCCCCTCGCCATCACAACCAACGTTGCAGCCATTGTCTCACCACCAACGCCGCGTCAATTGGACCCCATCCCACGACCATGCATTTATATTGGTGTCGCTTAAAAGATGGAATTAAATTTCTTCCTTTTTTTTTTTATTGGAGAACCTCGGCCGTATGAAATTGTATTCATATTAAAAAAAATAGAGGGTAGGATATAAATCTTGCCCTTCTTAAAAAAAGATACCAAAAAAAAAAAAAGAGAAAAAAACATAAACCTTACCTCTCTCAAATAAGAAAATACAAGAAAGGGGGCCCAAGGGGAGGGGAGGATTATGTGCTGCAACAGAGAAATAAAATTTTTCCAATTAGTCCGAAGAAACCAAGGAGGAGAAAAAAAAAAGAAGAAGGAAAACAAGATATCACACTAGAAGAGTCACTTTCAAGTCATAAATTTTGCCAACTTCGCGTGAGCTAACTCCATAGCTAGGATGACAACATGAAGTTCTGCATAGAAAGAAGTATGATGCCCTAAGTTTAAGGAGAAACCACCAAGAAAATAACTAGTAGAATCTCGAAAAACCTCACCACAAGCTGCAGGACCTGAGTTATTAAATTTCTCTTTAAATTCTATTACACTTTAGCCAAATAATAAACTCACTTCACAATTTCTATACCATTAGGGGAAATATATATATTTGCTCACCAATTTCAAGTGATGGTGATGTTCACTACTCTATTTATCATCGTCGGATGAGTTTAAATTCCGAAATTTGAGTAGTGATTAGATACAAACCTCAAAATTTAAACTCATTTAATGGTAATAAGTAGGATTGTGAGCATAACCACTAGTTGAGGGTGGTGAGCAACCTGGCTCAATACAACTCTCAAAATTTTTAACATGTTTCTAGAAAAAAGTGCTTCTACTAAAAGCAAAACCGCTTATGAAAAAACAATTTTCTTCAACGGTCCATAACAATTAGTGATAGGAAAAATGAACGTCTAAGATTGAAAATAGAAGATCCATAGTTGTGACAATCGAATCTGACGACTAATACATGTAGGGGTGTGCTATCCACACCTCTTTTTACTTCTCACACACCCTTTGTTAATTTCTATCTGTTGATCTTCTTCAATTCATCCGATCTGACCGCCGAAAACCAAAAAGATGTGGAAGAAGTAAAAAGGGGTGTGTGGATATCACACCCCTACATGTAATTCGTGGTATTGAGCCACGCTCAAATAGTCGCAAACATTAAAAAAAAAAAAAAAAGTGCTTTCTAAGTATGAAATCACAAACAGATCCTACTGCATCATCATTTTAAATTCTATCATTTCAGAATTTATTAGGATTTTAAAATTTCTCATGGGTAAATTTTCTTAAAATAAATTTGAGAAACTGTTTTTGGTATATGTGGGCGTGGCAGTGGAAGCCCTTCGTGACATAGCTGATCAACTCAACAAAAAGGACTGGAATTTCAGTGACCCATGCAGCAATATTCCAACTTTCTCAACACCACACACGGATCAGTACAATAATACTCTCGTCTGCAATTGCTCCTTCCCAGGGAAAGTATGCCACATCCAAAGCATGTAAGTCTAAAATTCATGTTGGAAGATTAGCAGCTCCTGCAGCTGTTAAATAAATCATGACAAATTTTTGGTATCAGAAAGTCAAAAATTTTGGAATACCCAACAAATCTTATTCCCTGACCAATTTCACATTATAAATAAAGTCAGTGACATTTAGATTGGTTAGTACAAGAGTGTCTCTGTTTAGGCCTTGTTTTGGTCCCTAGGATTGGAATGGTTTAACCAATCCAATCCTTGATCCCAAATGAGGCCTATATGTTTGACTTCTTTCCTGAAATCTTTATCTGGAATTTTTAACACAAAATTTGTCGCCTATGCTTTTTTGGCTCGTCACAAATGTCATGCAGGTGGCTTGTGGGGCAAGACCTCGATGGTGTGCTTCCACCAGCACTAGTGAAGTTGCCTTACCTTAAGGAAGTGTATGAGAATCTTACAACTATTGGCTTTAGCTTTAGCAGCTCAAAACTATTTGCTTCTGTCCTAATCAATAGCACTCTTTCTTCTTTGTTCATAGTAATCTGGGCCAAAATTACCTTAGTGGTTCAATACCGTTCGAATGGACTTCTACTAAGTTGGAATCTCTGTACGTGACTTGCGCTCAAGTTTGATGTTGGCAGTTATAAATTTTCCTCTCAATAGCTGAACTAATGGAATGTACCTAGTGCAGGGTTCTCAGCGTGAACAAGTTATCAGGACCTATTCCTGGCTATCTGGGAATCATAACTACTCTCCGAGCTTTGTATGCTTTCAACTTTCCTTCCTAATGTTATCGCATCTACATGAAATACGATGTACCATTTGGTTGTGACTGTGAAGAGACCATGCATGCTTTCAGGTCTTTGGAAAGCAACTTATTTTCTGGACCTATTCCCCTGGAGCTTGGGAAATTGGTTAACATGGAGATTCTGTCGGTGGCATTTTCATTTCATCCTCTGCTTTTCTTTACAGTTTGCATTTGATATTATTTTGTTTGCATAAGTACAACATTAAATAGGCAATGGTTAACTTGGCAATATTAATTAACTGCAGCTATTTATGTGCCAACGATCTCACTGGAGAGTTGCCTGTGGCTCTCACTAATCTGACCAAATTGAAAATACTGTAAGTAGATTTATTGTATTGTACATAATTAATATGTTTCCGGGGGAAAAAATAAAAAATCAGGTTTGTGACTTTTGTTTATGGGGGCATTCATAAACTTTCGCAGCCGGATTGGCAGTAACAACTTCACGGGAAGAATACCCAACTATTTTCCTAGTTGGAAAGAACTCCAGGATCTGTAAGAGATCTTTTTGAGCATGCCTTTCAAATTGATATCTTATGCAAATATTTTCAGCTGAAATTTAATCCATTCGTTATATGTTGTTTACAGCGAGATGCAAGCGAGTGGTCTTAAAGGGCCCATCCCTTCTAGCATTTCTTCCTTAAATAATATGACAAACCTGTGAGTCCTGTCTTCTACGTTCTCAATTATATATTGCAAATTTCAGATCATTTTCATTCTTTTATTTATTTATGTTGGAATATCATTGCTGAAGAGACCTGTATTCCTACTCATTTCTTGATACCATCTTTTGTAGAGCGATTAGTGACTTAAGTGGTGAGAGTTCAGATCTTCCAAATTTATCAAAAATGAAAGACTTGCAGAAATTGTGAGCCATCTCTAAGGCTTTAGTATTCTTTATGATTAGAATAATCTACGCGCATTATATATCACAGTTATTTTTCTTATATTGGGTAGCTTCAAATTGCAGGAGTTTAAGGAGCTGCAATATAACAGGAACAATCCCTGAATATTTCTCTAATATGAAAAGTCTACGACATTTGTAATACTTCTGTTCATCCATTTTCTGTTCTTTTTTGGTGATTTGCAGCTCTTGGTATTTGTGGACAGCAGATTACAGTCATTTATATGAAATAATTACATTTGTGGAAATGTTACCTATTTTTTACAATTTAATTACTATTACAGGGATCTTAGCTTCAACAGATTGAAAGGGAACATTCCCGATCTTGCAGATTTATTGGGACTGATCACAATGTAAGAAGTGTATACAATACACTAAATATACTTTCCTCCTTTGTGTGTAATTTTTGAACTGGCATTGATTTAAGTTAGATTTTTATTCATGTTTACACACATTTGATATTGCTTAATGATCAGATATCTGACAAGTAACTTGCTTACTGGGCTTCCGGAGTGGATCAAAAATAGAGATACTCGCTAGTACGTTTCTTTATCCTAAATCTTACTCGTATGTATTGTTAGAATTCGCTTCATATCTATCAATTACTTGGATCACATGCATATGTAATTATATATCATTTTAGTTTCTGTGCTTGTGGCGCTTCCATAAATAGAATATGACAATATGTGTGATTAAGAATTTCGAAACTTGCTAGACAGATTGTAATGCTACTTCTGTAAGGATGGATGTATCAGGTTATGCGTAGAAGTATGTTTTTTTTTGCACGGATGATTCATGATTATAAGAAGGCTGCAGCTGAGATATATCATATTGATCGGTTGAATTTTTCTCTCTTGATGCTGTCTGTGAAATATTGAATAATTTCTTCACCAGAAAACAAAATTCCTCTGCATTCTGTGCAAGTTATGTAATTTACATTCAAGTTTTACCATAAACACATGTTTCTGTGCAGCATAGTAGATCTTTCCTATAACAATTTTTCAGAGAACTCTGTCCCAACTACATGTCAAGATACCTTGTAAGAGCAAATCCATTTCTGGTTTACACGCTTATTTACCTTCTTGAGATAAATGTATTTCGCTCTTTTGATACATTGTAACACATTGTAACTAGTTTGTTGTTTCATCAGTAACATGTTCAAAAGTTTTTCCAGACAAAACAACTCGTAAGCTTCAAACTCAATCCGTTTCATATGGATTTTATTACTTGTTCCATATTCATTGGTCGTAAGCTAATGAATCTTTCTTAAATCTATCAATGTAGAATTCTTAGCAGTTGCCTCTATCCATGTTCAAAAGGTAACTAACTCTGTCGTTGAATATCTCTAGTGTTTTCGTATACAGTATTGTTTCGAGTCCATATGTCTTCTGCTATGTATGCTGTTTTTCTTCTTTATAGAACAGTATTCGGTGCATATAAATTGTGGTGGAAAACAAGTCACCGTTGGAAGCTTAAAATATGATGCTGATGAAGCTTCAGGAGGCGGAGCAAAGTTTTTTCATCATGAGACAAGGAATTGGGGATTTAGTAGCACTGGTGAATTTGGGATTAAGAATTTTGACCATTACTTCATAGCAGAAAATATCTCCTTACTCAAAATGACCAACTCTGAATTGTACAGAACTGCAAGAATTTCTCCTCTTTCTCTCACATACTATGCCCGTTGCTTAGGAAACGGAAATTACACCGTGAAATTACACTTTGCGGAAATAGTGATGAGAGACAATAGGTCTTATTACAGTGTTGGAAGACGAATTTTTGATGTATATATCCAGGTAATCATTTTTGTATGTTCACGTATTCTTCCTCTAATGTTCCTAATACTCGTGTTATCAGTCCATTTCTTTCTCAGCTTTCATGTAGAAAAATTTACTGTAGTTATTTGTTACAGGAAAAATTGGTAATGAAAGATTTCAATATTGAAAAGGAAGCACAAGGGGTTGATAAGGAAGTGATTAAGGTATTTAAAGCAGTTGTCAGTGATAGGGCTTTAGAGATCCGATTTTATTGGGCCGGGAAAGGGACATCAAATGCTCCGAGAAGAGGAATATATGGTTCTCTTATATCTGCTATCTCAGTGGAGTCTGGTAAGTAATTTAACTAATAAGTTTTCTGTTTATTTTGACTACAATCTCAGTGATCACAGTTCTTGGCTCTGCTTTCACTTCTAGATTTCAAACCTCCCGATGATAGAAAAACGAAGATATTCATTGTGGTTGGAGTTCTTTCAGCGCTGTGCCTCTTTTTCATAACTGTTGGCATTCTTTGGCTAACATACTTTAAGGACCGTAGGAGATCTACTAGGGAACAAGGTAATGTAAATATTGTGCAGAAAAGGAAAGCAGATGTAGCAATTTAAGTTGTACCTTCACTGAGATCTGCTATAGTCCATGTTTCAATTCTTGTAGTTGCTAATATAAGTTCAAGATGTTAACCTCGTCACATCAACAGATCTGAAAGGATTAGATCTGCAAACTGGTTTCTTTGGGTTCAAACAAATCAAAGCTGCCACTAACAACTTCGACGCTGCAAACAAGCTTGGGGAAGGTGGCTTTGGAGCTGTTTACAAGGTATTCTGTAACTCCATTTTTCCAAAACTTGTAAGCAATTTCCTTTATAATATTCTTTTCGTCTATGGATGACCTGCATTTCCCAAATGTATTATATTTCAAATTGCAGGGCAAATTACTAGATGGTACTACTATTGCAGTTAAGCAACTATCTTCTACATCACAACAAGGAAACCGTGAATTTGTGAATGAAATAGGCATGATTTCTGCTTTACGACACCCAAATCTCGTAAGATTGTATGGATGTTGCATTGAAGGAAATCAATTATTATTGGTATATGAATATATGGAGAACAATAGCCTTGCACATTCTTTATTTGGTAAGCTGGAAAGATGAGAATTGGATGGTATACGTATTATAATTTGAACTAGTTTGATAAATGAATCTTATTTGTTAGTTTATGTTTGCTAAATTAGGTCAAGAGGAAGGCCTATTTAATCTGGACTGGCCTACAAGGCAGAAAATATGCACTGGCATTGCAAGAGGTTTGACTTTTATGCATGAGGAGTCGACACTGAAAATTGTGCATAGAGACATCAAAGCTACAAATATATTGCTTGATGGGGACCTGAACCCTAAAATCTCTGACTTTGGTTTGGCCAAGCTAGACGAAGAGGATAAGACCCGTATTATCACCCGAGTAGCTGGAACTATGTGTGTAACCTTTCAATTCATTCTTGATTTTATTTGACTTTGTTCTTCCAAATCTTGATTCCTTGATTTTCCTCAGTAGTTTTTATGACAATATGTCTCTATAGTTTGTAGGCACTAGTGATGTATTAAGCCAGATATGGATAAAACAATCTTCCCATTTGTTTTGCAGAGGATACATGGCCCCGGAATATGCATTATGGGGGCATTTAACGGAAAAAGTTGATGTGTACAGTTTTGGGGTTGTTGCACTGGAACTCGTATCTGGAAAAAACAACATAAAGAATTGGCCGAATGAGAGTTATGTATGCCTTCTAGATTGGGTAAGACCTTCACCACATCCATTTTGTAGATGAAATTAGTAGGAAATATTTTCCATTCGACATTTGATATCGCAGCTATAAATGTTTCTTAATTTACTAAATTAACCAAGAAACTTTTCAGCTATATATGTTTCCTTGATGTTGCAGGCCTGTGTTTTGCAACAGAGGGGAGATCTGATGGAGCTGGTGGATCCAATGTTGGGTTCTGAGTTCAACGAGCAAGAGGCGATGAGAATGATTAAGGTAGCTCTACTATGCACTAATCGATCACCAACACTGAGACCTACAATGTCTGCAGTAGTGAGCATGCTTGAAGGTCGAGCTATAGTTCGTGAACTACTGAACGTAAATTCGAGTATTTACAGTGATGAAGTGAGGTTTAAGTCCTTAAGATATGTGTCTGGGGATTCTGACCCGACTAGTGAAGAGTTTGTGTGAGACTCAAAGCCTCGTTTATTTATCCGGTGCAAGAGGGACCAGCTGTCCTCCCTCATCATCCATCCAGGATATCTATTCACTTAATCTTGATTCCTAATTCTCTTTCAATAAAGGAAATAAATTTGGAATTTGAATAAAAATTAAAATTTATAAATAAACATACATCAATTCCTTTATTTAGATTCATAAATATACAAATTTAATCTTTCATGTGATAAAAAAAATTGAATTTGAGGCCCAAATTCTCAAGTTTAAATTCCGTGTAATTAGTGTTAACTACATTGTAGTGTTTGAGAATTGAAGGGAAAATCAAGAAGAAAGGATGAGTAAAAGGAAGAACACGAGAGTTTAGAGAGAGAGAAAAAGTTTTATATATTTGAGGAAAATGACAACTGACTACATTTGTAAGTGGAAGTGCATTATATACTAAACAATACAAGCTTACTTAACCACAAGTAACTAATTAACCAACTAACAAATCATTTAACCACCTAACAAACATTATAACAACTTAGGCTGATGTGGCATTGATTACACAGTAACCAATAATCAAGAGACATCTGTCTTCATCCCCCCTCAATCTCAGCTAGGTTACCAAGCCTGAGATTGCAGCAATGTGAGCATGAGATAAACTGTTGAGTCCTGCAAGTTGAGACATCTGCTTCTTATTGATCTTTGCAATCTCCAAACTGGCCTGCCTTGCACCAGGTCCAGCATATGGCTCATCTGCTATGCCTGCCAATCATGTATCAAAGTTTTTGGCACTAATGTTTGCTCATTATCCTTTTGTTTTAATCAGACAACCACAGTGGAGTAGCAGCAAACGGCCTGATCATAACATAACACACACAAGTGTACCCCATAACCTCTTTGTAGCTGTTGACCAAAAACCTCTGTCTGTCAATCCAAATTTCTTCCACTGCCTTACAAATAAAGACACCCTGTATGCCTCTGCCTCTATCAGGAGTTTTACATAAGAACAACCTTCTATAAAGTAGTTGTAGCACACCCTCATGCCGGTATAACAACTTCGTACGGGATTACCCTTCGTGGGATTCACCGTCAACAATCTCATTCAACTTGGCTTCGGCCTTTAATATTTACAAAAACAGAAAATTAACAAACTATAGTGTGGCATCGGCCTTAACTATAGCACCACAGGATCGCCCTTTGTGGATTTTACCAAAAACAACTTCTTTGAACAATGACATTGGCCTTCACAATTTCAACAACTGAAAAATCAACATTTATGTAGGATTACCCTTCGTGGGATTTACCTACTCAAAACACGGGATTACCCTTCGTGGGATTTACCGTTAACAACTTCTTGTACCCTTCGTGTAACCGGACTTACTGTAGATTCATGCTAACAACTGAGTTGGTTAGACTCTGAAATTATAGGCTAAGATAAGGGAAACATACTGCACAAACTCCTCAATAAGCACCTTCACATGAAAATGTTGAGCTGGGCATTTCGATAGACACATGAATTGCGCATAGGTCTAATCTTTCTTTCATAGCAGAGAACAGAAGACAATCAAAGAATCCAATCACACAGTTCTTCAAGCAATTAAAATCCAACTTTCAATTCTTACAAACTTATCAGACATCTTGATGAACAATTTCAACTTCAAGATTAACAATATTCAACACTGGAATCTTCAGAACATCAATCCATTGGCATCGGCCTTATCATTCAATTAACAAGAACTCATATTTCATCATCTTTCAACATATGACATCGGCCTTCACACGTAATCATGCATAAAATCCCACAATATATGTCTAAGACATTTTCACAAACACCATATACGCAGAAAAGGATTAAAGATACAGAAAACAACCTGAACCCCGAAATCGACGATCTTAGACCCATCAGAGTCAACCAAGATGTTTCCGAGCTTGATGTCGCCGTGGAAGCGTCTGTGACCATGGAGATACGACATGGCATTTAGCGTCTTTCTCATCTTCTGCCAGTCTCGAACCCAGAAGTTGACCATGGCGTTGAGGCTACCCAATACGCAATCAATCTTTGCAACAAACTTTGAAACAAACACCACTATCTCGAAAAACTCCGATTTGAAACAAACTTTGCATCAATCTTCACATGAAAAATTCTAAGCAGAGCAATTCGTCAAACACGTGGACTGCATCCATGTCTGGCCTTTCTTCCATACCAAAGAACATAGTAGAGATCCAAGAATTCATTGTCCCATTCCCAATACGCAATCAAGCCGTGATGCTCGTCGCTGCCATCAGCAAGCGCAACCATCAGCTCATATGGGATTGGAATCGGTGAAGCCGCCATTTCTCCGAAGTCGAACAAGCCGAGAACTTTGCCTCGGTTCTCCAACTTTCGATCTCTCGCTTTCAATCGGGCACGAGGAGACTCATGAATTTGATCGGAAAGAAATCAACCCAAAAACAAATCAACCTAAAAGAATGATCACGGAAGCACCCAGAAACTTATCCTAACACCTAATGAAAATTTGGAAAAGAAACTAAGCTGGAAACATATGTAAAATAATGGGAAGTGGAACCACCAGAATCCATGGCGTGAGCCTGGTGGCTCTGATACCATGTTAACTACATTGTAGTGTTTGAGAATTGAAGGGAAAATCAAGAAGAAATGATGAGTAAAAGGAAGAACACAGAGAGTTTAGAGAGAGAGAGAAAGTTTTATATATTTGAGGAAAATGACAACTGACTACATTTGTAAGTGGAAGTGCATTATATACTAAACAATACAAGCTTACTTAACCACAAGTAACTAATTAACCAACTAACAAATCATTTAACCACCTAACAAACATTATAACAACTTAGGCTGATGTGGCATTGATTACACAGTAACCAATAATCAAGAGACATCTGTCTTCAATTAGTTGTTATTTTCAAATTTTTATGAGTGAAAGTTCAAAAACAAAATATTCAAAAAAAAAAAAAAAAAAAAGCTGAATCATGAGTGGCCTGTAAGTAAATATAGAACTTATATGGCCACCACCACCACTTATCACCACTTGTCACAATCGCCGCCACAACCACCTAGCACCACCACCACTCACCATCATCATCACCATCACCACCATAGCCACCACCACATACTGTTGTCGCCATTGTTAGTACTGCCAACACCACCCACCACCACCACCGTCATCGCCACCATCATTACCCTAGTTCCTAACTATTATCTATCATTTATATATTAATGATTTTATATACACATTTAATTCTATATTTAAATTTGATTCTTCTTCTAGATTGGCCAAACAAGAACACAAGTATAAAATTTTGTCATTTCAATTTTCGTCAATTTGAAATTCCTTAATAATCTTAAATTTTCTCGTCCAAACATAATGGGGTAATTACACAAATACCCCTTAAGATTTTTTGAGTTTTCACAAAAATCCCTTAGGTTTAAAACATTACACCAACATCTCCTGAGTTTTTTATTTACTTCCACATAACCCCTTCAAGGACAAATTTGCCCTTTTAATTAATTATCTAAAAATGAAAAATAACTTTTATAAATAAATAGGAAAAAAATCAAATTAATATTTTAATTTAAACTTAAAAAATGGAAAAGAAGGCTATAATTCTTATATGCAAGCCGTGATGATCCCAAATTATCTCAGTTTCATTGTTTTCCGGTTTTTTTTTATTCTTTTTTATATGGCTTGAATTGAAAATGCTAGAAATCTCAATCACAAAAGCCACAATAGCAAATGGTACATGAACAATGATCGAAACCAAAAAACTGGAGAAAGATAGAGATATGGTTGCTGGAAAACAAATATACATGGGAGGGAGGGGAAGAAGATGCAGAACTAGGGTTTAGGAGATGCATCGGGGGTGCAAGCAAGGGTAGGACCGTAGGAGACGATTTTGATTTCATTTTCTGTTCATTATTTTTTATTTTTTTAATGCTTTGTGTAATTTTAATTTGATTTTTCTATTTTTGTTTATTTATAAAAGTTTTTTATTTTGTTAAAAAATTAATTATAAGGGTAATTTGTCTTTTTGTTTACTTATAACTGATTCTTCTCTCTTCAGGTTCATGTATTGTTAAGCAGAGTGTGGGAAAGAAAGGGTGCCTCACTGGTTAGGCACTTGAAATCAATTATTTCCATCCGAAGAACTGCTTGGAGGTAAAGTTGAAGAAATAATTATTAAAGTACATTAAATATTGTAACTTGCGTTTTGATATTCTATTACTCCACATGCTAATCCGCTTGGACATTGAATGATGGAGGAGCTGGTTTCTTTTTACTTAGGGCGTGTGCAGGGGATGAGATTTGAATGTGTGCCTCTCATGATTTGCAGAAACATAACTTGGATATGAAAGTATAAGATAGCATGAATCATATGTTATTTTCCTATTTGGATACATTATGTGAATTATTGCTTCTTTAGAAAAGATTAAGGAAGGTGAGTTCATCATGGGATTTAAGTTTTAACAATACAACTTCTTAAAATTGAGTAAATGCTCGCATTTGAGAGATAGAGAGATAGAGAGAGACAACGAGAGAGAGGGGGAGAGGGAGGAGTGGGGACGGATTGGAGTGGGTTAGGTGGAGTGATGCTGCCAAAAAAGCATGGGTTGCAGAGAGAGGGACATAGGCGTGGGATGGTGTTGTGTTTGGCTCATACATTTGTGAGTAATTATGAGTCATGTGTTGACAACAAGTGAAAACATGGTGACTGCCACAAGCAAAGTTGGAAGCAAGCAAGACTTGACCTTGTGTTTGCTTGTACACAATTGTGCATGTTTTCTCTTCTATGCATTAAATGACAAATAGAGAAAAGTTGTACTTTATAGACTAGGTATTGACAAAGTGCATGCTAGGTAGGCTAGGTAATAATTATGTCATGTGAACTTAAGACTTTTTGGTCTTGGTTGTTGGCATAGTTGCTAGTGTATGCCTATAACTAGATGCAATATTTGTGCATTTAGTAATGCTTAGAAAGTGAGAAGTAAGCATCATAGAAGCATCCAAGGGGGGAGCATCCGGCTCTCCCATGGGAAAGGTTGAACATGGGTTGAGAGAAAATCAAGATAGCTAGAGTGAAAAGTATTCTAGTGAAAGAACTCTAAGGGTAGAGTGAGGCTCTTGGGAAAATTCTATGAGTGGGTGTGCAAGGGATTCGGGATTAAGTTATGTTGATTTAACTCATGTGTACTTGTACTGTTATTCATAGTGAAGAGCAATATCTCTCCAAGGACGTAGGCATGTTTTTGTCAAACCTCGTAAATTTCTCGGTGTCTTTATTTCTTGTATTTTATTCTGTTCAACTGAGTGTAATTTGGTGAGGTTGTAATCTGAATCTCGTTTCCACACTAACGAACGGGCCAAGGCACAACAAATGGCAGGTAGGGGAAGGTAGAGAGAGGAGTGAGGCACTGAAGCTACCAAAAAGGGGTTTAGGGTTGATTTTTTCTCCTCAAATCAAGGATGTTGTCAGTGATTGAGGGATGAGCGTTTAATTTTGTGAAAGGAATTCAGACTACATCGATTGCATCTTCACCTTTCTCTCTCACTTCCTCTCTCCTTTAGAATTGAGTTCTGAAGTGCGTGTGCAGGTGGGCGGTTCATTAACTAAGCTTTCAAGGGGAGCCCATCAACGGTTTGCTTGCTGAGGGAATACGGAGACTACCAGTGTATTATTTGGTTATCTTTTATTTTTTATTTAAATTTATCCATATATAATGTGGGTAAATTTATACTAAACAATTGTGATAAGCCAGCATGCCATACGACTTTGAAAGCATTGATTTTGTGTTTAGTTTGGATTTTGCATTGTGAATGTTTAATTTTTTTGTTTAATTTTCTTTGTGATGTTCAGCTGTGTGGCAATGGATACATTCTTCAATAGCAGCGTGTTATCTCGGTTTGCTACTTTGCTAAGGAAGCGAGTTGCTCTGTGCTAAAGGAGGATGGTGAGTCGAAATTCTTGGCCCTATTTAAGGTTATCAGATGCTATTCATTGTGATTTGCAAGGTTTCCTAAAATAACAACATTCAAAACAATGGGGTGGTTTCGCTTTTCACAAATTTATGTTGGTTGTAATCTGTAAATGTTATACAATGCTGAGTTCCAAACTTTATCACTGGCATTTTAGTGCGTTTTAGATAGGATGCAGTTAGGGCCGAATAGCTATGTATTTTTTTTATCTTATTTTTTTCTTTCCTTTCACTATTATTAGGTGCACAGTTCAGGGTAGACAAGCTTAGTGATTTTCCTAAATGACGAGAAATTTTGGAATTGAAAACATGATGGGATTTAAGGAACTACCCATGGGCTATAGTTTTCCCCATTTGTAATTAGCAATTTCTTTAATCATGTTAGTTGGATAGTGTTTCGGTGGTTAGAAAATTTAAGGATTTAAAATATCATGGGTTAGGGGTTTTAAGAAATACCCAAGTTCTATAGTTTAGCGCCTTTGTTCTTATTAGGATTCTTCAACTTTGATTTGGATCAATTTTGGGTCTGCATGTTGCAATTGAGGTTAAAATTCTAAAGTTTTATAAATCTTTGATTGATTGATCAAGTTTACGGTATAGATGATGTAAGAATTTGTCGCCAAGGGTTTGAGAGAAGGGTGTTTTCACAGGAATTGAAGCTCTGGCTCTCGGTTGTGAGTTCCATAAATATTTGATTGTGCAAATATACAATTATTTGTATTTTTTATCGATGATCAAAATGTGATCATAATCAATATTTATATATAGATAAATAACTGAAAGTTTTAGTTCTAGAGATGGAATAGGTATGAGTGGTTATTGAAATCTGTTCTGTTGTGTTTTTTCTGCAGGAGAAGCAAGAAATTACAATTGAAAAAGCCATGCGTAATAAGCGGAAATGTATCACCACTGTGAAGGGGATGCAACTTTTTGGTGAGCTATCTGTTGTATTATATCCTTTGTCTTTCTATTTGGAGATTCTTATTTTAATCCTACCGTAATAGGTAACTGCAATTTACTTTTGGATTTGCTTCTTCACTGATGGGATGTTGTGGGGGCGTGATTTGGGGGAGATAGGGGAGGGGGTTGGTTGAAGAGAGAGAGTGAGGGCGGGTGCACGATTAGGGGGACAGAAAGAGAGTTGATTGGGTGCAGGGTTTGAGGGTAGGGTTGAGGGAACAAGTGTGTCGGCTGCAAAGAGAGGGTGGGGTTGAGGGATTGTATCTCCCCCTCTCTGTCACATCTCTTCTTCTTCCATTTACCCTTTCCTTCCATTTGGGATTGTGTTGGGGGGTTTTGTTTGTAGCCTGTTATTCTGTTGTTTAATTTAGTTTTGTGTTCACTTTCAGGAGACTCTAGTTTTTTGTTTTTTGGGGCTTTTGTTTGCACCCTTTAAAGCTGTTTGTGCTCACGCCCTATGATAGGAGTGGTGAGCTTCCCTTTCAAAGATTCATTCTTTCCAGTATTTAGGGATTATGAAGTGATTTCTCTGCTTAATTTGGGAGTGAGGTTATTTTTTTCTTATAAATATGTGTATGACACCCGGAAGCTTCCCTTTCAAAGATTTTTTTTTTCCAGTATTTAGGGATTATGAAGTGATTTCTCTGCTTAATTTGGGATTGGGGTTACTTTTTTCTTATAACAAAAAACTGTGCATGGCACCTGGAACAGTAATTGGGTTTTGGGGTTTGTTGCAATGAAGGATTTAGGATTTTTCCCAATATAATTATGGTGTTTGGGTTTTTTAAACTTGGGGTTTTCCCGATGTATTATAGTGTTTAATATTTATTAATATTTTTGGGCTATTTAATCTTCTCTTTTCGATTACCCAGTTGAAGTTTTTAATTAATTTTTGTTGATTTGATTTGTTATTTTTGTAAAAAATAAAGCGGAGTTCAAAGTCAAGAGGGAAAGAAAGCACAGATTCCGGTTCACAATTGAACAGTGCAATTAAATTCAGAGATTGTTGGGTAACCCTTCGCTCTCTTCTATGTATAATTTCTTTGAGAAGTGATATTGGTTGGTGGTTTTGCAAGAGATGATGTCAAATTCATATTTGGACTAAGAAAATAATATGCATGTTTGCTAAAGTCATAGAATTGCTCTCGACTCCCCTCCAATTAAAATATTGTGTTGATCGAATTTTGTTTTGGTGTTTGACTACAGGACTTCTCAGGTTGATTGCGACCTGGGTAATCAGAAAAAAAAAAGAAGTGACTTTCTGGAGGAGAGTCCGACAATACCAAACAAAAATCCAAAATTGCTCTTCAAAAGATGGGTTAAGTGTAAAGTCATTCAATCAGTTCTTTTATATTCCCGGCTTTTATTTGCATATGTTTTTTATTTCTCATATTTTCATTTTTGTGCAATTAATTTACTACTGTGTAAATATATTGGAAGATTTTTTTTGAAGTGAAAATTGCCTTCTTTTTTTTTCTTCTCATCTGTAGTGTGTGCTCCATGAAAACCACACGTGTTCATTTTTTCCCTTAAGTTTAATGAATACATGTGATGCATGTGGGAATCCTGATACATGTGATACAGCCCACCTGTGTATCATACGGGTGCACTGAAACGCCGTGTGTTCATTTTTGAAATGATAATGCTTAAAGTGTTTTGCACATTGCTTGGAAGTTTTTACTGATGATTAGACTAATAAATTATCAACATTCTCTAAATGGGATTTCACATGATATCAAGTAAACCCAAATACTTGGAATTGAATAGTATTTTCAGAAAATAAACACCCTTTTGTGTGAGTTTGTATACAGGATTTTAGTAATTTTCAATATTCTTTGACTTTTTAATCTGCAAAATCAAATTACTCATGGAATTTATAGCATACAATCAGTTTCTTTTTAGTTGGGTTTAGATGATATTGATTGCGCTGTTATAAAGCTCCTTTGTAAAGTTAGGTTGAAAATCATATCAATAGATTCTTTATTTGGTTGGTTCAATCTGTAATAGATGGGATTTTGTTGGATGTTTTAATCAAATTTTGATCTTTTTGTTTTTTTGTGAAATTATAATGGAATCCCGAATCAAATATATCTTAGATTTGTGGTTGCATACTCACCTTCCCACAACTATTATATTGTCTCTTGATTGGATGGATTTTTATAATTTCCAGGATCTACGGTTGCAATGCTTTTGATACATGCAATAAAGAGGGAGCTACTACTCTTATGGAGCTTCTTTGGCATGGTAAGTTGAAGTTGCATGTCATTTTTTTCGTTCATAGAATTCATTATCTTGCTATCTTGGCAATCAGCGATGTCTGAAAATTGGTAAAAGTATGAATAAATGTGTCGAAGTTTGAATCGTACACATGAAAGTGAATTTAGCAACTCTAACTTACATTTCTTAATAATTTGATCCGTCTTTCTTTCATTTGTGTTAGAAGAATATATTATGATTTAAAGCTTAAATTTTGGGCACTTAAATATATGTCTTTGTTTTTGGCAATTACAATCACTCGCATGAAAATCCAATTGGATTTGTTCTGGTTTGCAAGAATTTTTCTTTGTTTGATTATTGATTAATTTATGTGGCGGGAGTTTAGTTTTGCTTTTCTGCCTGTGTATATTTGATTTGAAATGGACAATTCATTTCTTTCATTTGTGTTAGAAGAATATATTATGATGTAAAGCTTAAATTTTAGGCACTTAAATATATGTCTTTGTTTTTGGCAATTACAATCACTCACATGAAAATCCAATTGGATTTGTTCTGGTCTGCAAGAATTTTTCTTTGTTTGATTATTGATTAATTTATGTGGCGGGAGTTTAGTTTTTGCTTTTCTGCCTGTATATATTTGATTTGAAATAGACAGTTCAGTTTGCTATATATAAATTTGTAATCGAGAAGCTCGAAGGAGAGGTAAATTAGAAACAAAGGAGGGAGTGTGATGGAGTTGAGGAGTTGATAGTTTACAGAGTTTACTTGTATTTCTATATTATGTCCATGATATAGATCATTGAGACTGATTGTTTGGTTGATTAATCACTAATTTGAAATACTTAAACTGTAACTTTTCTTTAATTCCTTTTCCTTTTGTATTTTGATTGGATTCTTTTAATTTTTTTTGCTTGATCTATCTTAAGAATGTTTGCATCTTAATACTTTAAATATGTTAATTTGACCTCTTTTATGTAAAGTTTTCTTCGATGTGAATATGGCTTTTTCTCAATCTTCAGATGGCGATTATTTGGCAACTTCTGCAAACTTGGGTATTCAGCCTTTGAAATACAAATCTAAGGATGAAAGGAACCAGATGAGCTAGAATCGGGTTTGTATAATTCTAAATTATTCGTTTAGTTACCGATAGAAAATATGGTTGCCCAATCCAGTTTAGTATTTTCATCATCTTAAACATTTTCCTTTGATAGCAGTTTGTTTTGATACTCCCTCTTTATCTTGGCTCATAGTGTAACGTTTAATGATTGAATTTGTGCGATGGTTTAGTAGTTTTTTCAGAAACTTACTATTCTTGCCAGATGCTCAAATATTATGTCTTCTACGTTTCTGCTTTTCTTTTTTATGTGTTTTCCCCCATGTAATGCGCTGACCAATTTAAACTATGAGTATAATACTGATGGCGCAATACGATCTACAAATGAGTGCTTTCTTATAGCATGCATGTCCATATATAGCGAGCAAAATTTTTCTTCATTGGTTCTTATGTAGTACACCATCTTTTAAATTATTGTGCGGAAATTATTCATGTGGTTAAGGTTGTAGCATTCAAGTCCCGCATCAACGCGCGGGCATTTTTGCTAGTAAGTTCTAAAGTGGGCCTAAACAGGAAACAAATGAAACACATGAGGATCCTCTCTAGATCCTCTTTGTGAGGATCTTGATGATCCTTCAATAATGTCCGTTTATCGTATATCGTGAGCAAGGTATAAAATATCGATGATATCGGAAATATCGGTAGTCCAAAAACACGGAAATTTCGATGGAAATATCGGGATATTATCAATATCGATAAAAATTGAATAAAAACCACGGAAATTGTAAGAAAAACTTGAAAATTTTTATTGAAACTTTGCAGGATATTTATTTAGTTAATTATCTATTAGTTTATCACAAAAAAATTGGAAGGAAATGCATTGCATGATGAATTTAACTGATTTAAGTTGATTATATAGCGAGCTGGCAAACATTGTGAGTGTAGAAAATATGTAGTAATTAATGAAAGAAGTTTAAACACACCATAATCATTTATATATAATGAATTAGTATAATATTTTACACTTCATACATTGCATGGTAAGATATATGAGTGACTTAGTACCACATAGAGTTCCTATCAAGGTCTAAAATATCGATGATATCGGAAATATCGGTAGTCCAAAAACACGGAAATTTCAATGGAAATATCGGGATAATATCGATATTTTAGACATTGATCGTGAGGTCAGAAATCATTGTAATTTTTTTTTATTTAAAATTAAATATAAACAATATCTGACAAAAACTGATTGCACGATATAAGATAAATGGTCACGATTAAAAAATTTTCAAAATTCTCACAAAGAGAATCCTGAGAAAATCCTCCCACCACATCTTATCTTTGAAGCTAACTAAGAGGTTGGCGTCTATTGTACTATTCGATTTTTATATATCTTATCATATTTCCAAGGGGATTGCTCGCTCTTTATATTTGGTCTTTATGTTTATTATTAATCTTGTGAAATTATATGTAGCTCTAGTTATATTTTGTTCCTATGTGTTATTAATATTGTGAAACTATATATTTGTATTTGGGACGAACTTATAGTAAATACACGAGCAAAAAAGCCCGCGTTCTGTTACGGGGAGTGCCAGAAGTATGATATTGTACCATCTGATTTATTTTGCTATTTCTATTCCTTTTTGGCATCATGCGCAAAAAATGTAAACTTTAAGTAAGAGATTAACTTCGATGCATAATTTTTAAAATGAGTATAAAACTAACTTGTAATCACAACAACAATCCATATTACAGATCATAGATAAACACTGACTAAAATATGTTCATCCATGCATACAAAAAGAAAGCACATAAATAGCTTGCAGTATAGCAAAATCCATAGCCAACCAAAATTGGTATATTGTAGCAGCATATATTTTAAGAAAGGTCATCCAATGTTTCGTGTATAGGACATTACTCATTTAATAATATATTAACATGCAAAATTTCAAGATACAAAACTCTGATAGTAGAAAGGACACAGTGAATGACAATAAACACATTATATCGTAAAAGAAAACTACCTCAACAGGCCATCCATCCACCATAAATACATCTAAAGAGTAGCCATCGGTCGTCAAGAAGACGTGCTTCACAAATGTTAATTCCAAAATATGAAAGGAAGGAAGAAAGCTACAAAAAAATGACATAAGGTCATCTTCAACCGAAGGGTCTAGAGGGCCAGAAAGCCGAAAATAGCCCGAAAACCGTTTCCAACCGAAGGCTAGGCTAGATGGCTCGTGGACCCCACATAATCTATAAGGGCCAAAGGGCTGGCCTCATGCAGCCAGCCAGCCAACCAACCCGGGCTGGCCAGAAAATTAGAGCAATCATGTAGGTTATAAACGACGGGAATGTATTTATAATATAAATACATTCCCGTCGGTTATAACCGACATGAATGCTTAAACAAAAATTTGAATCTAATGGCTAAATGACTAGCCGTTGTATTCAATTTTTTTTTAATGAATTGAAACTTTTTTTTTTCCTATAAATACCTAAGTCATTCCTACACCATTTCTCACATAATTTTCACCATTCCATACAATCTCACTTCATTCTATTTTTTTTTCCTATAACTTCTATTTTACAAAATTTGTTTCATATTTTTTCGAAATTCTTTTTTTTTTTCCTTTAACTTCCTAAGCCATTATACAACATAAATTTAAATTAAATAACATGAAACAACATTAAACAATATGTAACAATATTAAATAACATTAACGAACATAAAAATTATGTTTGACCCTATGGTCCTCGGTTGAAGACGGTTTTTTGTAACAGGGCTAAAACGAGCCCTATGACCCTTTGACCATTGGTTGGAGACCGAGGCAAATACAACCATGTACTGTTCATTAAAATATTAATTTCTTGGAGGGTCAAAGGACTAAAACAAGCCCTCTGGCCAGCCATCAGTTGAAGATGGCTTAAGTTAGAAAGATGCGACCATAATATGGTTCCACTTCTGCATTTATCTTGGATTCAACAACATAAACAATGCATATAATATGTATCTAATGTACTGATGTCACGCCCCGATCCCAATATACGTCGAGAATCGACACGTGACAAGGAAATTAATGTCCGTTGAATACGGTATAAGTTACGGAATAAAATACTTTAACTGATAAACCAAAATAATATGAAGGTGGCTAAGTTCTCCACAAAATATTTACAAATATGTACATCCCAAAAAGAAGTATAATCTT